CTATCTATGGACGGACAGCTTTTTTTTTTTTTTTCGTCACTTACCTCCGAGTGTCCCGGGGCTCCCCGTACGGGCCACCATCTGCCGCAGTCCGGCTGCAGCAAAATAACCGGCGGGGGTGTGGGGGGGTGACGAACAACTTGTGTAGATTGATACAGCAGGAGTGGAAGCCGTTTATTGTAGGACAGGAGTGGTATTTATACATTCCACACAGCTTATCTTAATTAGCATAAACTAGATACAGCAGTCAACCAATAAGAAATCTCCACACTTAATGGCTCGCTGGTGTTACTTCACAAACCACTCCCTCTGGCATTTTGCCAGGCGCCATCCGGACTTGTTTACAGACTCTAACAAACAACAAAACAGAATCAAAGGAAGACCTACAATGTCTATGCCAAGCAGGAATCTGCCCGCTGCCCCCATACCAATTCAAAACAGTGCAGCTCTCCAGGAATGCCCCAACTGAGGTTGAGACATACAGCCGTCCGTCCCGCAAGCAGCACTTTGGAAAAGCCAGAATGCTGGACTCAGTCCACTCCTCAATGAGGGAGAAGCCACAGAATGGGAGAGGTTCCCTACAGGCATCTCCGTACTGCAAGCCCTGGAGCCACAGCAAGCTACCCACTGACCCCTGTGTCAGAGGCTCCCAGGCAACCAAACTATGCTGCGTCCATCAATGAACTGGAGCCAGGTGAGCCATAAAGCAGTCCCTGGGGCAGCCCTCTGAAGAGCTGGAATCAGACAAGTCCCACACCTCTCTACCCTTGGCCCTCCTGGAGGCTACAACCCAGGTGTTATTCCAGCCATGCTGAGCTGTCAGCCTGGGCCAGGGGCCGTCACAGGACCCTTCCTACCTATTCTACTGCAGCTGTTCTTGGTTTTGCACCCACTTGGGGGTACCACAACTGGACTGGGGTTTTACCCAATGTATCTGGTGAGAGCTAGAATTTGAATCCTGGCATTCTGTCCTTGTTCCCATTATTTAAAATGGATTCATTTTATAAAATAGAGATGATTATATCTTCCTCAAGAATTGTTGTAGGAACTGATTCAGAAAAATGGCAGACAGTGCTTAGCCATAACAATCACTCAAGAAAAAAGAAGCAGCAGTACGTTTTTCTCCTTTTAACCATTCCATTCTCTTCCAGTTACATACTTTCAAACTGGCATCTCTCTAGGATATCTAGGGCTGTTTCTTCTTGTTCTGTCATTTTGTCACATCCAATATTTTAACCAAAAAGGAAAGAGAACAGGCTATGGAATCCAGGATGATTTATGTGTCAAAAGGTATATTTCCTGAGCACTGTGGAGTAGGGTGTACTCTTCAATACTCCAAGCCCTTGGTTTGCACCGCAGGTCAAGGCACAGAAATGACACAGCTGTGGTGTCTGTCTCAATCTAGTTGGGGCTGACATGCTTGGATGCCTGAGCTGCGGGACAAAGCTGGCAACTTGCTGCTGCAGCCCCCGTGAGCCTGCAATACTGCAAACAAACACCAGAGGGAGCCAGAGACTACGCTTTGCACACCACTCGCTGGGAATCACAGCTGCTCAAGACCCTGTGTAAACAGCGGCTAGTGTGTACTAGGCAAGGGGAACGATTTTTATTTCTTTTATAGTAAAATATCTTTGAGATGGAGAAATTATCCTGTGTTACTGGGGTAGGTATACTAGAATCATTAAGACTTCTGATGTGAAAGAGGGAGAAAGATCTGAGCTGCTGGCTTTGATTTGGTGGAAGGAGCCATGAACCAAAGACTGTGGCACCCTCCTGAAGGTGGTTAGGGGCTCTCCCCAGGGCCTCTGGAAGGAAAAGCCGGCCATCACCTGGATTTTAGCCGTGTAAGATCTAGTTGTGAATTTCTGATTTCTAGAACTGTAGTAGGTAAAAATAAATGTGTCATTTCATGTCACTAGGTTAGTGAATTAGCACAACAGAAATAGTGAATGTTAAAAAAAAAATTCGCTTCAGACAGAATCACTCCGGAAATAAAATTTTACTGTATGAAATTTACATTTGTTACATGTGATGAAAATTACAGCCAAAGATCTTTTGCTCATCCTTTTTCTAATGTACTCTTGCAAAGTCACATTCTTTATACAGATTATTTAACAGCTGTTAAATAACAATTGTGCTGGCATAAGTGTATAAATAAGGTATAAAACAAGAAACAGATCAAAACAGTGCAGGGGGAAGACCACTGCCAAAGAGTAACCTCCAAGAACTTGGGATTTTCCACGGCAAGGCAGATGTTGCAGGGTCATCACTCTGTAATTGAAGAACAAAATACTTTAGTCTTTCAATTTTACCATCAAATCTCCCTTTCAGTTCCTCTTTTACATGGTTTTCATTGTTAGAAAAAATAAAGCAGCAAGTTTCTATATCTTTTTAAAAATACAGATAAATTCCTTCAAGTTCCAAATCTTAAAGATATGTTAGAAAGGCTGCAGACAGTCTACTACCTAGAATGAAATTCACAAAGATCAAGGGTGTGTGAATTTCTGAACAACAGAAGTAATTGCATCATTTTTCTTCTTGGCAAAAAAGCAAGAATAAAAAGTATAAAGCAGGCTAATAGCTGCCCCTTCCCTGGGCTGTCATGCTCATTTTTCAGGATACAGAAAGTTCTTCATTTTGACAAGCAATCGCTACAGGAAGCACTGCTCACAGGGCAATACTTTCCGAAAACTTCTCTGAAACAATCCTGAATTCCACAGAAGACCTTCCTAGATGGATGTGTCTGATTAATTAATATAACAAGAATAATGTGTTCAATATAGAATCTGGGGCTTTCCTTTCTGGAAAATGAAGCAACTATAAATAGACTGGTTAACTATCTTACTTTCAAAAGTTCAGCTTAAACTTAATTTTATATAGAGATATGTCTACATTTAGTATAATTTTTTACTTATTTGATCTACTTACATAGAATATAAAATGCAAGTTAATGAATACAGACCAGACAAGTCAGAGGTTGCTGGTATAGTAAGACTTACACATGGTTTGATTATCTGAAGCCATTCATTAAGATACTCGACAAGACCTAGTGCATCTGGGATATTGTCTCCCTCTGAAACAAATTTCAGCAGAACCACCATTTGGATTTCTTTAGAACAGCTACAAGAAATAAAAAGAATAATTCAGTATTCTTCCACTTGTAGATAATTCTACTGTGATAGCATTACAGGCAAGATAACCTGCCAGGTTTTAGGCAAGGAAAAGATACCATACCATAAAATCACTGTCTCCCAGGGGCCCACATATACTCTTGTAGATGTGGGGCAGGAACAGGAGCCTAGAACAACCAGCCAGGGAATGTAGAGATTGTGCCTTGCCCCAAAGCTGCACGGACATCTGTCCTTGCACAGCCCAGCTGTGCTTGGCAATAACATGTGAGCTCTGTTCTGAACTACTCCCCAGACCTACTTGGGAAGACAGTGACTTTCAGAAGGACCACAGCAAAGAGACTGAAAGAAAAACCACAAAACAACATCTTTGTTCTTGGTAATCTAACTCAGTGAAGGCAAACTTGGAGAGTGGAAAGGTTCGAGAGAGGAAAACTCCCTGCTACTTCTCAGAGACAGCACCTACTGGGTGACTGTTCCAACAGGCACTTTCTGCAGTTTATGATTCAACACTTTCTTGAGGAAGCTGTAATCATTTCCATTTTCTAAATGAATCAGTTTAAAATTAGTGGGAACAAGGACAGAATGCCAGGATCTGATTTTTTTCTCTCCACTGACCAAATACATGGGTCAAATTATTTAATTTCCCTCATCTATGAAAGGACATCAGAACCCACCTTACAGGCTGCTGTGAGGTTTAAAGGAAGTAATGAAGGCAATGTGCTTAAAGGTGACATACAGATTATAGTACGCAAGTGTCAGTAGCTAACATGAGGCAAGAGGTTCAGACAGACAGAAAGTATAGTTAATCTGCTCCGCGTTTTTCCATCTGGCAAGTGGCAGAGGAGGGGACCTGAGGCTAGTCTTCCTGACTCCCAAATAGCCTCCCTACTATCATGGGTAAGTGCCCCCAGCCAGGGGTGACACGGCAGAACACCAATGCAAAGCTTCCACTTAACCAACAAAAGCAAAAGCACCCTAAAACTAAGAACTAGGAGAAAAATGTAATGTTGAAAGTTGAGAGTGCGTGACTGACAGCCACAGAGAGTGGGGTCCTAAGCAGGGTTCTAAGACAGGAGACTCTGTGAGTTCAGAAGTCAGGCAACAGGAGAGTTTACCACAGCACCTCAGGCTTCCGAGAGCTAAGGGCAGAAGTCGTCAGCACTACTCACACCACTCCACCCTGCAGTTCTCAAGCTCCTTAGAAACTTTCCATCTTTATAGGGAATACTGTGAATTTTGAAAATTCTAGCTGCTAAGTGCTTCTGCTCCAGTGGCCTCAGCAAAGGCTGCTTAGAGAAGGCTAGTCTCCCTGATTGTGCTGTAAGCATTCCAGCTTGTATAGAGCTTCTGCCAGGGCAGCACAACAGCTTTAATATCACCACACGATCCTCTGTTGACAGAGGAAGATGGAAGAGGGCTATTTCTGTTACACTCTAGGACATTAAAACCTAGCATAAGATATATCCAATTATTAAAGTACAAGTGTACTTCTACTGATTAAATGTGTGATCTCCGATCAGCCACACCGTTACCACCATGTTACCACCATGTTATCGAATAACCAATATTATCTTTTGCAGAGATGGGAATAAATATTTGTTCTGATAAGGAAAAACAAAATATGTATATTGTAAATAAACTGGAAAACACTCAAGATAATCACTGAAGGAGAAAAAAGGACTCAAAATTGTACACCATATGATCTCATGCACTTTTTTCAATTTCAAAAATTCTTTTACCACAATTAATGCTTAACTGTACTGAACATGGTTTGGTAATGAATGAGTAAAAAATTTGTTAAAAAACTAAAACTGTGAAAATTCTTCGAATAGGATGAACTCTAATCAGTGTTAAAAATGTCAGAAATGTATTATCTCACACATACATACATTTGATTAACGATAAAGAAGTTTGCAAAAAAAAATGGGTTAAAAAATTAATGGAGTTACTTCTGGGTGACAAGACTATCACAACATGGTTTCTTTAGATTAGGCTGCATTTTCCAGACAGTCTATGCTGAGCACGTCTAGCTTTCACATTTCTGGGGCACTGCGGCTACCTTTTTGGGCAGCTTTCAACTATTCATGGTGTTTCACTTACACATGGCACAATGCAGAGACCCAAGGAGACCCCAGGCCCTTCAGGCAAGCAGCCCCCTGCTCTCTGGTTCTCTGCATGGATTTCCAGTCCCCTGGGCCACCCCAGTCCCATCTGATTCCTTCAACTTGGCAGGAGGCTGTGCTCTGCTGGGGCGCCCCCTGCAGGCCTGCAGTGCAGAAAGTGCTGTCAGCCGAAGCTGAGCAACTGCCGGACCCCTCAAGTTTGCTCTCAGAGACTTGGTGCAGGCTGTGCTGTAATGTCCGAGGAACAGTTGTTTCGTTTATTCTGTCAAGTTTCTGTTTTTTTTATTGCTGGAGAGCAAGTCTGCTATTAAGTAAACTGTTGTGGCCAGAGACAGAAGTCCAGGAGATGACTAGTGAAGACTTAAGTACCACAGAGAGGAGGTAACACAACTATCGACTCTTGGAAACCAGGCAGACTTCTGCAAGGAGGACAAGAGGAGGCAGTGACAGAGGAAATGAAGAATCAAGAAACAACAAGGCACACAGAAAGCAAGGCTGAAATGGCTGAAGTCCTTCCTCACCAGTAATGACTCTCAATGTGAACAGCTGAGACTCAACCCAAAGGCAGAGACTGGCAGAATGGAGAAGTACATAGATAGGATCCAACCGCAGGCTGCTAGACACACCACAGGGTGACAGTGAAAAGATGGAAGATGCTCTGCATACAAAAACCAAGAAGAGCAAGGGCGGCCACACCAACATTAGACCAAACAGACTAAATCAAAGACTGCAAGAGACTAAGGTCACTCTACACTTAGGAAGGGTCCGTTCATTAATAAGACATAACAAACATAACCATATTAAGTGCAAAATAACAGTCTCAGAATGTATGAGGCAGTGACAGAAATGAAGGAGAAATAATCCTACAATAGTAGACTGGGTTACCCCACATTCAACAATGGCCAGAAAGTTAGCCACAAAATTAGTAAGGAAAAAAGAAGACTTGGACAATATTATAAATCAGTTCTAATGATCATATACCACCCCCCTCCCCAACAAAACAGCAATACTTTTTCTCAGATACATATAGAACATTCTCCAGGATAGATCATATATTTTGCCACAAAACAAGCATTGATGATTCCAGTTCTCAGGAGGCTGAGGCAGGAGCATCACAAGTTGGAGGCCAGATGGATAACTTAACAAGACCCTGTCCTAACATAAAGATAAAAAGGGCTGTGTTTTAGCTCAGTGGTAGAGCTTTTTTTTGGCCTAGTATGTGCTAGGCCCTGGGTTTGATCTACAGTACTGTCAAGAAAACCCAGTAATTCTACAAATAATAAATAACTTTACACCTTGTGGGGGAAGAAAGGAGAAAGGGAGAGAAGGAGGGAGCGAGGAAGGGAGGGGGAAGGGAGAGAGGAAGAGAGAGAGACACACAGAAGCAAACGCAAGCTGGCATAAAGAAGAAAATAATAAGAGATTACAATGCAGGTAAGTAAAAGAATAGAAACAGAAAATCAATGATCTTTTTAAAGATCAACAAAACTGACAAACCTTTAGATTAACAAGAAATAAGACAAATTCAGAAATGAAAAAGTGGGGACATTACTAGCAATTTTACAGAAATAAAAAAATAAAAAATTATTTCACGTGTACAGGTTTTCTATTTAGGAAACGAAATTCTTGAAGTGGGCAGGGCGATGGAGACATGTGGTGAGATTACACTTAATGCCATTTAACTGTACACTTAAAAAGCAATGAAAACGGTAAGTTTATATTATGTGTATTTTACTGCCATTTAAAGACAGTGTTTGGAGAAACTATGTGGAATAATCAGAATCCCTTAAATGTCACACACCAATACAGCACCAAATATGGCTTTTCAGGAACCATGTCTTTTATAACCAAATTTAAATTTTTCCCCTACAAGCAAGATCTCTAGCATAGTACCTATTTTATAAATACATTTTCAAAGTTCCAATAAAAAAATCCAATATACTCCCAATTACTTTAAATTTTTTTTGGAGACAGGGTCTTAATTCCTGGACTCCAAGTAATCCTCCAGCCTCAACCTCCTCAGAGCTGGATACAGATGTGAATCACAATGCCAAGCAACTTTAACTTGTAAGTAAAGTGAGAAACAGACACACTCACCTTTCATCATAGAGTGTTTTTGTGATCCCTCCTCCTGGAACACGGACACAAAACTCAGAATCATCCATTTGAGGGATGCATGGACTTTTTTCCATTTCTTGCCAGTTAAGGCTCTGTATTTTATTTTGAACATTTTTTTGCACAGAAGGTGTAAGCAGGTACCGGAAGGGAGTACTAGAAACAATCATATATAATCACCTTTTCAAAAATTACAAACATGAATACTAAGGTGAATATTATCAGTTTTTAACCAATATCATCTTGGTCTCCACATGTTCTACTGTATAAGGCAAGTTATGCGTTAGCTGATGATGGAAGGGCAACTCGGGCAGAACACATCACCTGGCTTGACGCTTACATACCAGGAGGGAGTGAAAGAAAGGAAAACTTCAACCAACGAAAGCCATTGTGAAAATCAACCCATTTTCTATTGCTATGTTTCCTTCTGCAATGGGGTCTGAAATGTCTGTGGTGAGAACCTTAGAAGTTAACTCTTTTTGAAAGTTTAACTATGGGCTTATTGATATTTTTCACCCTGATTTTACAGGTGTATAGATGATAAAATTTATGATCTAAATTAACTAAAAGTCAATATTCAGAATATAAGAGTATTCTATATAATATCTTATTAACTATGTGACAATGACAAAATATCATTTATATCCTATTTCTGGGATACTCTGTCATATATTAAAGAATTCACTCTGACAGGCTAGGCAGCTATAATTAAAGGCAACTGGATTTCTGCATGTACAAATGGGTGCATTTTGAAAATAAATAGAAACATCAATGTAATCTCTCGAAAGTTAGCAATTAACATAGCCCTGGTGTGGTTTGCCCAGCATGCACAAGGCCCTGGGTTCAATCTGCAACAGCACTAAAAAGGTTCAATCAATAAGTCCCAGGTCCTTTCTCTGCTCTCTCATGTTCCTTGCATCTGACTAATACCAAGAGTATTTACCAAGTAAATACCAACAGCATGGTTCCAAAGCTCGCTCTCCACCAAAGTCCTAACTGTGAGGACCTACTAACTACACTCCCCTCATCTCTTACCTTTCTTTCACCTTCCTCTAAAATGGCCATACCAAATACCATAACCAAGTCAAGAACATACCTGCGCAGCTGGAGATCATTGCGCTGGTAGGAATGAGTACTTGAAAGGACGATGACTTTGGCACAGCCACTGCTTTGCACCCAGGAGAGCAGCTTTTCACAGAATGACTTGGATTTATACTTTGTGTACATTGAGAGAATAAACAGACAATGTGAAAGTGAGATCTTAGGGTAGAAGAACAGCGTCTACATTATCCACTTTATGTGATAACAATAAATAACTTAGACACTAAAATTATTAGTACTGTCAGATCTACTTAATGTTTTTAAATTGAAAATGGAAGATAAACAGCTGTAAACTATTTGATATATTTTTACAATGACAAAATAAACTAACTGTAAGGAATCTATATTTCTAAGGAAAATGTCTCATTTCTCTGCTTAAGAAATCTACTGTTATGTAATAATCATCACATGGTCATCTATGAAGTGTTCTTGCCAGAAAATTTCTGCCTGGAATCTGATTGTGTGATAGCAATCAGGTGACTGAGAATGCTGAACATCTGACCTCAAGTCCTCATACAAGCCAACACTAGGAAGAAGAGGAGGAAGGGGGCCAGCTGTACACAGAGGGGCACCAATTTAAAAGATGTAATGGAGAAATGTAACATGTTAACCTTGACTGGATCCAGAACTGGAGGATATTTTGGGGACAAGTGGGGAAACCAGAATACCCTGGATGACACTTCTGAACAAGGCATGAAATGCTTATTCTCTGAATATGGTATCGACAATGTGGTTGTGAGAGAGAATGTCCTTGATCTTGACTATACTTAGTTTTTTTCTAGTGCTGGAGCACCCAGGGCCTCACACACACTAGGCAAGCACCTGCCACTAGGCCATAACATAAGCCCTGTCCTTCTTGAACGCTGTGTGCTGAAGCATTTGGGGGACAATACCATGTTGCTAGCCTGTGTTTGGATTGCCTGGCAGAAGGACACTGTTTACGCATTGTGTGTTCACATGCATAAAGAGAGATCAAGTGGGTTCGACAACAAGATGTGAAGTTGGTGAATCTGGAATATGGATTATAAATTTTAGCGGAAAAACTCACTTTATGAGAATTCTTAAATTTAAAATATAGGTAAAAATGGTTAACTTTAGAAAGAAGAGAGTAGCATAATATAATAGTTAAGAGAGGCAGGTTCTGAAGTCAGGCTGCCTGGGTGTAGGACATAGGTCCTTTCCAGACTCTGCATCTCAGGCAAAGTCCTTAACCTTTCTGGACTTCAGTTTCCTCCTTAGAAAAACAATGAAATAATATTTGTGCCTGCCTCAGCTTGTTGTGAGGATTAAAGGGATAATAAAGTGCTTAGCATAGCATCAGTAAAGAATCAATGCTCAGCAATTTTTGCTATTTTTAAGTCATTTCCATCTACTAAAAATCCATTTAGAAGTATCTGAATGGCCCACCTTAATTTTTAAACCGTCTCTGTTTATGAAGAGAATCAGTGAGCAACTTTCCTTATGGCATTGTTAAGTAAAAAAAAAAAAAGGAGTGATTCTAATACTAATAAAGTCACAGCAACACTACTATTCACGATAGCCTCAAATGGAAAAACCGAATGTAGCATCAACAGTGCAATGGACCACTATGGTTTATTTATACATCAGAATAGCGCATGAAGGTGAGAACCAATTACTGCTACTTGCAACAATATAGATGAACCGCACAAGGGGAATGTTGATTGCAGAAAGCCAGACACAGTACAGCGTACAATCTGAGTTACCATCTATATAGGACTCATTGTGGCAGCCCTTGGAATGCTGACAATATTCTCTCTCTCTCTTTTTTGGTAGCAGGGACTGAACTCAGGGCTACTCAACCACTGAGCCACATCCCCAGCTCTTTTTTGTTTTTTATTTAGAGACAGGTTCTCATTGAGTTGCTTAGTGCCTTGCTTCTGCTGAGGCTGGCTTTGAACTCTTACAATCCTCCTGCCTCAGCCTCCTGAGCTGCTGGGATTACAGGCATGCACCATTACACACCCATTGACACTATTCTATTTCTTCATCTAGAGGCTAATTTCAGAGTTTTTACTCTTGAAATTTCATCAAGCTATACATTTATGGTTTGTAAAAATGTATGTTTTACTTCACTAAAAAATTAAAACAAGTACTATGCAGTTAACCTTAATAAAATCCTGTATTTCTGACCTCCTGAACACATATACCTTAAGTCATTTCAAATAACCCACTCAATAAATATCTATTGATAGTTTCCCTGTGTGAAAAGCTCTTTCTTAGGTACTGGGGATATCAGAGTGAGCACCATAATGTCAATTCTCTCAGGAAACTCACTTCTTCTTAGTGAGGAAGATAATAAACATGTTATGACAAGAAGTGATAATTTCTGAAGAACATAAATACAGAAAAAGGAGCAGCGAAGATGGTAAGGGACAGCTTTTCTGATGAGGCAACATTTAAGCAATAAGGCAGCGAGCCATTTGGCTTTGTAGGGGAAAAGCATTCCAGGCAGAGAATCAGCGGCAGGATTCTGAGCTGGGCATGAAGGGCAAGTGTCTGAAGACCACCCAAGCAGCTATGGAGGCTGCAGGTCAGAGCCTGCATATAAAATATAGTAGCTGTCCCACAGGACTCTTTGAGCGTGGTAACGCTCTTTACATGTGTGCTTACAGACAACTTGAAATGTGGTTACTGACCCAGGAACCCAGTGTTTAATTTTATTTACTTTAAATCAATGAATTAACATTTAAATAGCTACATGGTAGGGGCGATGAGAGTAGAGCTTAGTGGTAGAGCCCTTGCTTAGCACACAGGAGACTGGGTTCAATCCCCAGCACTACCAATAAATAAATGAACGAATAAATAGCTACATGTGGCCAGTAGGTACCAGATCAGAAACTTGAAGGCTTGGTAAAGGGTTATGAATTCACTATGAGTAAGTAGGAAGCCACAGGAGGGTTCTAAAGAGAGCACTGATGTGATTTGACTTGGTTTAAAGGATCATTAATGTTGCTGTTAAAAGACTATGAAAAGGTTCATGGCAGGGAGTGGGCAAGAGTGAAAATGGGCTTAAGAGATGAGGAGTGGTTCAGGCTGAGTGGTAGTACAGGCGGTGGCACTGGAGGAGTAAGTTGGATTCAGAGCATAATTTTGATACATAGGTACTTTAACAGATACTCAATTTTTTAAAATTTTATTTTTTAATTGGTTCTAATTAGTTATACATGACATTAGAATGCATTTTGACACATTGCATACAAATGGAGCACAACTTCTCCTTTCTCTGGCTGAACATGGTGCAGAGTCACACAGGTAGTGTAATCATACATGTGTGTATACAGCATAATGATGCCCATCTCATTTCACCGTCCTTCCCATCCCGACACCCCCTCCCTACTTTGAATTCTTAATGATACCGACTCGATATTTTCTCATTACATTTTAATTTAATAAACTTAAGAAGTGAATATAACATACCAACCTTGATAAAAATGGATCTTAACTGAAGAGCCACAAGCTTCTTTGAAGGCAATGAATATACTACAAGGAAAAGAAGAAACTGAAATCATACAATAGTTAAAATGAAGGATTCTGAAAGTTGAAAAAATTTTAAATATATATATTTATAGTTGTTGATTGACCTTTATATTTCATTTATTTATATGCAGTGTAGAGAATCGAACCTAGTGCCTCACACATGGTAGGCAAGCACTCTACCATTAAGCCACAACCCCAGTCCTAAATGTTGGAATTATTAATGATAAAAAATAAAATTTGAATATAATAGCTTTTACATCTAAGTATTTTCAGAAACTAAAATATGGAATATATGTACTATATTAATTGGTTAAAATAAAACATTTTAGAAGTAACTCAAAATGTGTGCCAGTGAGCTTTATTCTATGGAACATATTCATAAGTTAACTCGGGCATGGTGGACACTCCTGTAGTCCTAATTACTGCAGAGGCTGGGCAGGAGGACAGCTTGAACCCTTGAGTTTGGGGCCAGCCTAGTTAACAGAGAGTCATATCTCCTAAACCAGAGAAGTATTTCCCTGGAAATTTCTGGTATTATGATAAGAAAGCTACACTTTTTTGTCTGATATTCCTCCCTCTTCTCTCCTGAGAACAGTAATATTCACTAGGATTAACAGAAGAACTAGGTAGGTAAGTTTGTGTTCTTTTGGAGTTTTTAAAAGACCTTGAATAACAAAAAATTTCTGTGAGTCAGCATGTGTGTATTTTTTCTGGGAAAAGGATTCATAGCTCTCACCAGATTCTACAAGAAGCCAGCTCTAGAGAGGCTAAAGGCCCCTTGTCCAACCTTACCTCTGTGAATGAGAAGCTCTTGTATGAACTGAGGGCATAACAGAGTCACTCAATCCAGAGGAAGAGGCCACTGTGGCAAGGAGTCAGTTTTTGGTACTAGGAATTGAACCAGGGGCACTTAACCACTGAGCCACATCCCTGGTCCGTTTTAATATTTTATTTAGAGACAGGGTCTGAATGAGTTGCTTATGGCCTCACTAAGTTCTTGAGGCTGGCTTTGAACTCTCAATCCTCCTACCTAAGCCTCCCAAGTCTCAGGGATTATAGGCATGCGCCACCATGCCTGTCTAAGGGGTAAGTTTTTGATTACTATAAATGGATTACAAATAACCTAGTTTGGGCATATCCTTTGGTGGGTCAGGTCTCTCCTGTTAAAAGTTTCTGGGGGACTGTCATACGTGATTGGTGTGACTAGGGGTTATACCACACTCAGAAGACTATTAAATACCACTATACTCAGGCCAAAGAGACTAGAACAGGAAGTTTAGGAATTAATGAAATGCGAATAAATTCAGGGAAAAAGGACTAAGGCACAGGCCACTCAGGCCTCTGATCTGTGACATACCCCTTTAATCCTGTGGTAGAGATTTTCTCAGCACAGAAAAAGATAACAGGGAGCCATCTGCATCAGTTGGAGCCTACCATAGCTCAGCTGCAACACTGTTGTTACTCTGTAGTACAGAAGTAAATGCCTAATCAGAAATGTATATTACCTCATGTGGAACATAAAGAAAACTAACAAAAAATATATAAGGCTATGTATGCAACCCTACGCTAGGGGCTCAGCCTTTGGATGATAATCTGCTGAGCCAGTGCGGGCACTGAATACAACTGCTTCCTGCTGACAGCCTTGGTATCTTGTGTCTCTGTCCAAATATCCTACAGCAGTCCAAATTAACAGATCTGGGTTCAAAAAGCATGTATCTATAGGGATGGAGGGTAAGACTTAGAGCACAAGATATACCATTTTCAATAGCAGCAAGTCTCATACTCTCTATTAATAAATCATGAAATTCTTTTTTGTTATTAGATCCTGTTTCCTAGTACTCCCCGCCGCCCCTGACATGACATAATATGAAAAAAATACCACCTTTTATGTATTCTGGCCAAAAATATTATCTCGTAGCAAATTAAGACAACAGACCTAATTCCAGGTTCAGAAAATACAGGGGGCTAGAGGAAGAAGCCAAAAGAGAGCACAAGGAAATAAATTGGTTTTGTGAAGAGAAAAGGACTACTCTAGAGTAAAAGTGTTTCAAGGGCACAACAATCAGCACGGATCCTGGTTTGGAGAAATAAACTTTATATGACATTCTGAGGCAAATCAATACAGATTATGCATAGGAAAATATTTAAAAATTAATTTTTTGAACAGTGCTAATGTCGTTTTAGTTACATGATAGGCCTATGAAGAATTATGGTCTTATGGTATTAAAAACTTACATATCAGGAGCACTGAACAACTCAATCTCTGAGATTTATCTATACTGTATTACCATGAATTCTAAAACATTTGAGGGGATAAATACAAGGTTTAGCTGAAGCAGCACTATTAAGCATTGCACTGAGCTTACTGGAATTTCTTTTCCTCTATCTATAATAGTAGCAATGGTTACATATGCCACTAAGAACAGAAAATAAAACAGGACAAAAGGAAAAAGATCTGAGTTGAAAAAAGTAGAACTCTGAAAGGCTACCCAGACCACAAGCACAACACACTTTCATAATCTTCATTGGAGTTTCTATTACACTGCTTTTCTTTTCTTCTTTTTGAGAAGTCATGTGGGAGGAAGTCTTGGTTGTGTGACCCAGGCCTCTTGTCAAGAAGTCTTATCCTGTGATCCAGGCCAGCCACAGGCTCCAGGTGACACACCAGCCTCAGCACTGTGAGTGGCTGGGACCACAGGTGTGGCTTCTGTGCCCAGGTCAGACCTTTCTGATTTAAAGGAACTCCATCAGGTGGGAGAGATAAGCATGCTGACCAACCACCGGCAAGCATACTGAGAGAGAGCTCTGGCTGGGGTAGGATTGAAAATGCTAAGCCAGAACCTTCTGTGTTTATACTAAGGAAGAACTCCACACTACGGTGGAGCTGTTACAGTGTCTACTTTATGCTTTGAAAATTGCCCTTGCTGCTCTACCTCTGGAACTTATTTTTAAAAAGTCATGTTTCTCTTCCTCTCTCCCCTCTCCTCCCTAATCTCTCCTCTGCCCCAATCTCAGGGAAAACAGTATTACCTTTCTTCCTCATTTTAGGCAGATTTATCAGTCCTTGAGTACCCACCCACCATAGGAAAGAAGTAATCCAGACTTTGGGTGGTACCAGAAGATCTCAGAAATGACTATCTCCCAAATTAACAAGTGAATCACAACTCAACACAGAAGTCCATGACTTTAGTAGCCTTTGCATCACCTCTTTAAAAACCCACTGTTAGCCAGTGGCACAGCCTCTTATCCCAGTGGCTTGGGAGGCCGAGGCAGGAGGACCCCAAATTCAAAGACAGCCTCAGCAAAAGTGAGGTGCTAAGCAACTCAATGAGACCCTGTCTCTAAATAAAATACAAAGTAGGTCTGAGGATGTGGCTCAGTGGTTGGGTGCTCCTAAATCCAATCCCTGGTACCAAACAACAACAAAACCAAACCCCTGTTCTTGCTGATGGGGACATTCACAGCCTCACAGCCTCTGGGACAGGAGTCCCCTGTGTTTCTCCTTTGTTGCAAAGCAATTAAACTCTTCTTTCCTTTTTCTCAAAACTGTGTCCTCATTATTGGATTGGCATTGGGGATAAGGACCGAGCTTTTGGTAACATAACAGAACATGCCAAAGACATACCTTCAGCATTTGTACTGAGCTCTGTTGAATTGTCTTCTTCAGTTGCATATGGATTGTTCCCAACTATTGGCACCAGGCAATCGGTATAGAAGTAGCCAATTTTATGCATGTTCAATGTAGAAATGATCAGATCTATTGCAAGCTGTCCAACATTTCCAACAGATACTGCTGGCTGAAAAAAAGACATTTTCAATAAGTCATCAAACTTAGGAGCACTTCAAACAGTTTAGACAGAAGATAATAATTGACTGTTCGGAATGCATATATGTTCAGGTGCATAGCTAGATATTGACTCTTTCATTCAGTAAAACAAACTAAGTTCCTGCTCTTGTGGAACTTCCATTCCAGTGAGGGAGTAGTTTACCTGTAACAAAAATAAAGAGCAAAATATACAGTGTTAGTTCTATGAAGAAAAATACAGTGAATGAATGGGAGCAGGTTTATATGTAGTTGGATGCAATTTTAAATAGGGCGATCCAGGCTTCACTTCAAGTGACGAGTCACTATCTTAAAGTGGTAAAGGACAGTCATAGAGAAACCTGGGAAAACAATACTCAAGGAAGCTGGAAAGCAAGTATAAAGTCTGTAAAGGATCTATAAAAGAAATCTCTTGGGCTTCTTCCCATTTGCTTTGTTGGTCTCCTTTCTATCCACTTCCTGAGGTTGGCATGATCTTTTCACATTAAACATACACACTCTCCCGTAACTTCAAACGGCCAACCTACATCACATGACAAGTTTTTGGGCTCCAGAGTCTACTGGACATATCTACATGGTTATATCACAGGCAATTCCCATTCCACTTGTATTAAACCAATTTTTGCTCAAACTTGTTCTCATATTTGTATTTTTAAAAAAAACATCTTCTCTTGACTACCTTATCTAGGAAATGTCTTCCTTTCCCCTCATCAACCTAATATATGACAATTTTTATTGATTTATCTTCAAAATACCTCTTTAATGAGCTCCTCCTTTGCATTCTTCCAGCAATTGCCTTTTTCTGACCTTCAATGTTCTTACCTAAGTTTTCTCCTACTTCTCATAGCTGTTGTCTACCAAACTCCTGGTTATCTACTACATATAATTCCCTTCTCAAAGATTCTGCTACTTTGGTTGGACTCATCTGTATCACCCTTCTTTTCCTCACTACTGGACCGTTCCCATGAGCATGTACACATGTTGTAAATCTTCCATTCTAAAAAGTCTTCCCTTATTCCATATACTCCTCTCCCTCCCACCTCATTTCTGTTGCCTTTCATAGCCCAAATTCTCCAAGAGTTGTCTACTACACATAAGTGGGAACTTTGTCTTTGAATGAATGCATACATATGTTGCTGAAAGCTTGTTCTTTGTCCCAGATGCCAATCCAATAACAAAGACCTGGTTTTGAGAAAAGGGAAAAAGAAGGTTTATTGCTTTGATAGCTTAGGAAGAGAGATCAGGAAGGAGAAGATCAGGGAAAAGGTTAGGGAAAAGATCAGGGAGGAGGTGGTCAAGAAGAAGGTTGGAAAAAAGAACAAAACACTAAGTTTCAAAGCCCCAAGGGATTTAGTCAAAGCATCAAGTGAGCCCATTACACATATACCTACAATCTCTACCTCCTCTTCTCCCTACTGAACTCACCCCAGGACAGCTTCCCTCTTTGCCACCCCATCCATAACTGTTTGCCCAGGTGACCCCTCTAACTTACATGTTGGTATCAAATCCTTAACACGTTTGATATTTTATGAATAAAAGAAAGCTATTGTCACTTCAAGCATTACACCACTCCAAAAAGTGCATTTTTCAGTGCTACATTCTGGGTTCACAGGTACCCCAGCTTATTCTCTCTCAACGTTTCATTCCAAACTCTTTGCAGTCCCCAGTGCTTATGCACCTCTGCTTTTAGCATCCATCTTTCAGAAATGCACCCTCTCCCATCTTTTTTTTTAAATTGTCAATGTATCTTTATTATATTTATTTATATGTGGTGCTGACAATGGAACCCAGTGCGTCACTCAAGGTAGGCAAGCGCTCTACCACTGAGCCTCAGCCCCAGCCCCTCCACACAGCTTGACTTTTAGATTGAGCTCATCCACTGAGCCCATCCGCAGCTCCTTTTTGTATTTTATTTAGACACAGGGTCTCACTGAGTTGCTTAGTGTCTCCCTGTTGCTGAGGCTGGCTCTGAACTCGCGATCCTCCTGCCTCTGCCTCCCCAGCCGCTGAGCGCGCTACACAGATTTTCTTAACAAGCTCCTGTGTCCCTCTCTCTGTCAATCACCTAAGGCCTTTCTCTCTCGTTGTCAAGCTCTGATCCCAGTATTAACTGGTGAGGATTTCCAGCTAGCTAGTAAGCTCTTTGAGGACAGCACCTATTATTCTAACATCAGCAGCACCAAGTAGAACGTTCACCGAAACAAATCGAAATATGGCAGCTCTAGGAGGAACAGAACTTGGCATTGGCGCCTGACAGCTCTCTTGTTACCTAACAGTGGTTCTAACGATGAGGTGCTGGCCGAGGAGCGACCTAAAGCACGTGTTTTGAGGACACACTGCAGGGATGCGCGGCCCGCCGTGCGCGGTCCCCGACTGTCGCTCGCAGGCCTCTTACGTTTCGCGGGCAACAAAGACGGCCCGCGAACGTCGGTTCCCAGCGCGGACAAAGGTTGGCTCCCGACCGCCGCCCTCCGCGACCACCTCCCCATTATTATTTCGGTCTCAAACACTGAAATAAAGACGGGCGCCTCCGCCCTGCCGCGGCCCCGCGGGGCCCCCGGGTGGGGTCGCTCCGGGGGGCCGCAATCCGCGCGCGCGCACACTTACCATCAGCAGGGTGAAGCCCGTCAGGTCAGGCACCCAATCCCCGCAGGGAACAAACATGACCGCGGCGGGCGGGCAGGGAGGCTGCGCGCGGGCGAGAGAACGAGGCCTCAGGAAGGCGCGGGCGCGGGAGCGGCGCTGGGCCTCGCAGATCCCAGGGGTCCCGCGCGACGCGACCGGGGTCCTTCGAGTCCCCTGGCGCCGGGTCCTGAGAGGCTGTCCAGCCTCCTGCCGGCGCGCGGTGCGCAAAGAGGCGGCCGGGGGTAGACAAGCGGTGGGCCTCGCCGTAGGAGCCCCGGCCAGGCGCGGCGGCGGGGGCGGGCCCTGAGGGAGGACGGGCGGCGAGTGAGGATCAGGCAGCGCGGCGGGCAACCCCGGGTCCGGCGCCGTTTGAAAACAGTTGGCGGCGGCGCCGCGGCAGCCGGGTTCCCGCCCAGCGCCGGGTCAGCCAGTCGCGGCGTCGGGCCCCTCGGGATCCGCGCGAGGCGGGCGGCTGAGCCGCTTGGTGCTGCAGCCGCCACTGTCGCTCCGGGGCCCGCTGCCAGCATGTCGCTGCCTCCGGAGAAGGCGTCGGAGCTGAAGCAGCTCATCCACCAGCAGCTGAGCAAGGTGCCGAGGCGGCGGGGCTGCCGGGTGGGTCCAGGCGGGGGGACCCCGGGGCGCCCTCCGACCCCGGCGCGGACCGGCCTGGGGCAGGTCCTCTCGCATTTCCCGCGCCTCCCCAGCTCCGGAGGATGGCCTTCGTGGCCCTGCGCTCGCGGGCCGAGCCTGGGCCGGCGTCTGGCGACCCTCGCCCTGTCCTGGGTCGGTCTGAGTCGGTCTGGGTCAGCCCTGGATCGGCTCTGGTGCTGCGTCTCCGACCGGGCGGCGGGCACGGGTGCCTTGCCGGTCTGCGGGCCTCCGGGTGCAGGGCTGCGGGGCGAACCCGGGACGCCGGCCCTCGGGAGGTGGCGGAGGGGAACGGAAGTCTCCTTTTCTCGTTCAGTTGCGGTCAGAGCCGTACGTTTACTGATAGTTTTGGAAGCCGCAAACCCGAGAAGCAAGTTTTAACTGCTTTGTGATGATGTGAGTTACAATTCGAATTTTCTGCGTAGATGGATGTCCATGGCAGAATAAGAGAAATCCTTGCTGAGACCATACGGGAAGAATTGGCACCGGATCAGCAACATTTGTCGACCGAAGATTTGATAAAAGCCCTTAGACGTCGAGGAATCATTGATGATGTGATGAAAGAACTTAATTTTGTTACCGTGAGTTAAATTTTAGGGGGAAAATTTGACAATGTATTGATCGTGCATAACACTTCGGTCTGTATTGGGTGCCTCTCCTGATTGAGTGAAGTCACTTTAAGGTCATTGTGTCTACTAATAGCCTTGTTTCAGCGTTCAGTATGGCAAATAGTATTTTATATCAGTGAAATTTGAGTTACCATATTTCTTTCTGTGCATAGCAGAATTTTGTATTCTTTTAGATCAGTAATCCGAACTACACATGCTTTCTAGGATTGTTTTATAACATTTTAGGTTAAACTATTTTAAAGAAAATACACTTAGGAATTTTTTTAAGAAAATACTTGACTCAATAAGAGCTCTCAAATCTTTTCACACATATAGGTCAAAACTGAGTGATAGGCTTCTTGGTATATTATTAAGTAAGCCCTCTTTTGAAAATGAGACAGTAATGAGAAATTGTGACCTCAATACCTGGGTAATATAATGTAAAAATAGAATGAATTTCATAATACATCAGGGAATTAAGTCTGTTCATACTGCATCCTTTTTTGGTTTTTGAGGCTTATGGAACCCATTTATTAAAAAATTGACCTAGTAAAAGCTACTGCTATATGAATGTCATATTAAAACCAGTTCATGGTGGAATCTTAAGCCAGTGTTATATAAGGTTTAGAGAAAGTTTAACCTTGTGTAAGGTGTTAAGGATTTGTTTTGTCACATTCTGTGAATGGTAAGACAATTTAGACTTTAGGAATAACCAGTTTTGCTGTCTTTTATGAGATATTTATAGGTATTTATTTTCATTATGCTAGGAAAATAAAGCGGTTTATTTTATTTTATTTTTGAAAGGTTATTATCCTAACTGTTTTTGATTTCAATGCTTGGCATGTTCTTACCTATGATTTTTGTTTTCTAATTTGTTTTGATTTTTTTTCTCTGCCTTTTTAGGAAAATGTTGATCAAGAACTTCCTTCCTCTCCAAAACAACCTGTTGGTTTTGATAAACAATCAACGTTAAAAAAAAGTATGTATATATTTTTTAATATTACTACAGTGTTTGATAGAAAAAAAAATCAGTATTTATTTTTCAAAGTGAAACCCTTATGGCTGGGGGTGTAGCTCAGTGGTAGAATGCCCGCCTCCCATGTGTGAGGCACTGGGTTTGATCCTCAGCACCACATAAAAATAAATAAAGATTGGGGCTGGGGATATGGCTCAAGCAGTAGCGAGCTCGCCTGGCATGCGTGCGGCCCAGGTTCGATCCTCAGCACCACATACAAATAATGATGGTGTGTCCGCCAAAAACTGAAAAATAAATATAAAAATTTTTTTTAAAAAATAAATAAATAAAGATATTGTGTCCATTTACAACTAAAAAAAATATTTTAAAAGACAGAAAAGCAAATAAAAATATTTTTTTAAAAAATGAAACAAAATTTGATGGTTAGTTTGTCTAAACTTGGATTTCATTTTGTATGTAGTGTATCATATGTAGCACATGAAACAGGACATGAAACAAGAAACTCTAGTTTCTTGTGTTTTAGTATGATTTTATAAAAACAGTACAACTTTGCTTTTCTAACAGTAATATAATTGACAAAACACTTGCTAAGTTGATAACTGTCTGAGTTGGTTTATGGGGTGAGGAATGTTGTATAAGCAACTAAAAAAGCAAAGTACAGAAAATCTTGACTGTTAACTCCTTTCCAGCTGGGAGAAAGTAGCCAGGATATAAACTCAGAAAAGGATATGTATTATGTATCTTTTCGTCCCAGAGTGCAAATCATCTGCTCCATAGTAAATTTGTTGCTCTCTTTTTTAGTCTTTGGTTTTATTTCAGTCAAGTTATTGTTTCCTTATGTCTTGATCACAGTCTAAGTTATTTGGCAGTTTCCTCATATATATTGCTACACTTTACAGCTAATATTGATCCAACACGGAGGTATCTTTACCTTCAGGTTTTGGGTGGAAAAGCTTTCTTGGAACATCTTCAAGAACCTGAGCCTTTACCTGGACAAGTTTGTTCAACTTTTACTTTATGTTTACATTATCGGAACCAACGTTTTCGTTCTAAACCTGTTCCATGTGCCTGTGAACCTGATTTTCATGATGGCTTTTTACTTGAAGTACACAGAGAAAGCTTAGGTAAGGATGGGAAATACATTCAATTGAATAAATCTTTGTCAGGTTTTATTGCAGAAAACTATAACTTTCCCTATAAGTTTTTTTATTTGTTTCTGTGCTGGGGATTGAACCCAGGAGGGTTCAACCACTGAGCCACATCCCTAGGCCTTTTTTAATATTTTTACTTAGAGACAGGGTCTCATTAAATTACTGAGGCTGGCTTTAAATTTGTGATCCTCCTGCCTCTGCCTCCTGAGATGCTGGGATTACAGGCATGCGCCACCACACTTCGTAAGGAGAGATTTTTTTAACGGATGAATCTCTCTCTTCTCATATTGCTGTTTTTGTTGTTTTTTGAGGGGAGGGTGGGTAATGGGGATCATCTCCAGCCCTTTTTTATATTTGAGACAGGGTGTTCCTAAGTTGCTTAGGGCCCCATTAAATTGCAGACGCTGGCTTTGTACTTGGGGCCCTCCTCCCTCAACCTCCTGAGCTGCTGGGATTACATGTGTGTGCCACCATGCATGGCCTATAAAGGCATTTTATACACTTTGGTTGTTTGTATTTATAAAATAAGCAAAGTTATAGAATTATGTTTTCATAAGTTTAGATTTTAAGATTGATAATGCATTCATAAATTGTTTTTCCGTATGAACAATGTTACTTAATAAGGCAGTTAATGAGATAAATTGCTAGATCCAAGGCTTTACATCTTTGAGTTTTCTGTAGATAATACAGTGGTATATCAGGAGGTTGAAGAGCAAGGTAGCTCAGCACAGTGGTGCATGCCTATAATCATAGACTCGAAGGCTGATGTGAAAGATTGCAGATTCAAAGCCAGTCTCAGCAACTTATCTAGATTCTGTCTCAAAATAATAAAGGGACTGGGGATACAGCTCATTGGTAAAGTGCCCCTGGGTTCAATCTCCAGTACCCCCCAAAAAAGAGTAAGATTCTTGCTGTGAAGATAATTAAAAAAAAAATTTTTTTGAAGAAGGGTAAAGGTAGTTTGAAAATGATGTTATTTAATGGCATTTTATCATATTAGCATATAAATAAAGAACAAACTCATTGTTTATGGGTTAGAAAGAACTGACTATGTATTAAGTAACTAAATGACTCATCACAATTCTGCCATCCTCTCAGAAGCTAGTGATAAAACTATTTTTATTCCCAGCCTTTGGCATGTTTTCCAAGACATACAAAGTTATTCTATTTGGTTTTGTATTAGTTTAGTATAATTTTCAGTAAGTTTTCTTTTATATTGGCCTAAATGAATATGTAACTTGATTTTTTTTTTTCCTGATTTATGTTGCTAGGCGATGGAACTAGAATGGCTGATTCAACAACAATGTTATCAATAAGTGATCCAATTCATATGGTGCTAATCAAAACTGACATATTTGGTGAGACCACCTTAGTAGCATCCTATTTTCTGGAATGGCGATCAGTTTTGGGTTCAGAAAATGGAGTAACCAATCTGACTGTGGAGCTTATGGGTGTAGGTATGGTGTCACTCTTACCTTTTTATAGGCACAGTTGGTAAAAACATTTATACCTCTATTTCAAAGATGCCTTCCTTATAAGCCAAGAGGGAAGGAAGCCTGTAGAGTTTCTTTCTTTTTTCTTTTTTTTGTACTTGGGATTTAACCTAGGGGTGCCTAAACACTAAGCTACATCCCCAGCCCTTTTTAAAATATTTTTTTTTATTTAGAGACAAGAGTCTCACTGAGTTGCCTAGGGCCTTGTGAAGTTGCTGAGGAGGTGGTCTCCAACTTGGAATCCTCTTGCTTTAGCCTCTTGAGC